TTAAATTTATATACTTGCACACATCAAAGCTAGGTGTCAGCCAGAATTCTGCTTACTTGCAGTGAGATAAGACAGATAAAGAGACTGCCCAGTAAATTTAAGCTTGGATGGCCATCTTTCCCCTTTTACATGATTGCTAAAATCCCCCTTATTTCAATAATCACTCAGAAAAATTCTCACATTTTTGGAATCTGTCTCCTTGAAGTTTCATTGATGCTTATCTTGAAAATTTATAGCATTTCCAAAGCATTCCAGAAATCAGGGAAACTCTCTTTACAAGAGGAGACTGTGTTAATGCCAAACCCGAAAATGTGAAGATTTTTGCTTATTCGAGTGAGTGGTGGTTTTGAATAAGGCAAAATCTATAATCTTAGTAAATATTACACACTATTATTAAAGAAGCAAAAAGGAATTGTGCTGGAGTTAATTAAGGCTTTAAGAAATGCCTGCTTTTATTGGCAAAAAAAAAATTTTGTTGCAACAAGAAAACTAAAAATTAAGAGGATGGTTGGCAGCAATATTGATATGCTAATGGATAAACATGCTAATTTAGAAAAAACTAATCAGCAAAGACATTACTAATGGAAATGTACAGGAAAATGGCTAATGCTGTATGCAAACCTGGTATCTACAAAATTAAGAAGAAACCAGTTTTGTTTGCATAATTGTAACTTGAGAGTTAGGTCTTCTCTAGCCGAGCTTTGCGACAGGAAGATACTGACAAACTTGCTGGGTGCTAGGGGTATTATTTCACACACATATACACACATAAATATATACGTACATATCTGCATATACATACGTATGTAATTGTTTTTGTATCCATAGGGCACTAAGGTTTCATGTCTCCCAGTCTCACAGGATGGGGTCCAGGTGGCAACCTCCTTAAAAGCAAAGCAGGCAGGAAAAGACTTCCTTCTTATGTAAATAGCCTCTGAATTTGATGGATATGAAATGGTAAATCCATTGACAAATCAACTTGATAAATATAATTTTTATTTTGCAGATATGCATATATCTTCTGAGCAATTCCTTTTCCTCATTTTGCCCTCTAAACCTAAAGATGGACACTTAAATACCTCTGAGCTCCATGCTAGTAATTTAAGGGAGTAAAGTCGTCCAGGTGCAAGACACCAAGGAGCAATGAGACTGAGGCAAACTAGAGGGCTAAGTTTATGGGGCAGAAAAGGCTCAGTTGCATTAGTAGAACTTGAGGCCAAAAGGATCCCCTGGTGTCACCAGATCTTCTGACTTTGTTAATATAAAGCAAAATGGAAATATAAGCCTTTAAATGAAATCTCCCCAAATTGAAAAATGGTGAATCAGTCCACTTAGGTTTAAAGCCACTCAATTGTAAATTCTTCTCCTTCCATTCTCATCTTTCATGGTTAATATCTAAATTCCAGGGGAACGTGAGGTGTCATGGCGTTGGGGAAGATTCTCAACCCAGTGTTCAGCTTCTGTTTCCCCTGGTGTTTGCTGAGATATACAATTGCATCATGTCCTTAGGGATGAGACCAAGAGTGAGAATGAAGAGTGCAGCCTTTTTTTCAGAGCGCCTCTAAGCACTTAATCCATTTTTGCTTCATTTCTGACTCTTCTGGCCAGCTTCTGTGATGGCTATCCAGTTCAGTCTTGGTGGCAGTAACTAACTGATCACAAGTCCTTTTGAAACTTTACTTTGGGTCAGTGTCTTGGAATATGACGCTCAAAATTACAAGCTCTTAATACTACTAGGCGTTCATTTTCTTAATAGTATTACCTGTTTGCCTTGGAATTACAACATCTTCTTAGAAGCCCATGAGCTTACTATTGTCGATTTCTTTTTTAATTTTGCAATAGCAACTGTGTCCTGAGGACAATGTGGGTCATTGCTTTAGAAGCTATTTCGAGAGCTGATATTGTTTGCTACATTAAAATATCCCAACTCATTAGCTATCATTAAAGCAATTTCATTTTACCTTAGAGATTCAAATATCTTATTGATAAATTATAATTACCTGTGTGTCTAATGAAAGAAGGATAACTTGGTTCAAATAAATATGTTATTAAAGTTGACAACAGAAATATAAACAAGAAAGCAATTAATGAATGTAAAAATTGTCCCTCCTTGATATCTATGCCTTAGATTTTACTTCATTTTATAGATATACTGTATTCATAAAAGAGCTTCCTTTGTAATGTACCTTTTCAGGGATATATCACGAAACTGTATGTCCCATATTAAAAAATACCACCCCCCATGATGGCCTTCTGACAGTTATAATTGACTTATCACCTCCAAACTTAAGCATTAATATCTCTGAATAAACCAACTGTTAACTTTTGTCATTGACTGGAATGGATAAAAAGTTTTAAAGACAAAAGCCTACTGGATGAATTTTAGTTGCCACTTTGGTTGGGTGGAAGGAGTTTGTTGCTGTTTAGGATGAAATCTACTTTCCTTTAGGTCAGAATTCTTGCCTGGGAGCTTCTGTCATAGCTGGAAGTAGCTTTGTGGGTTTTCAGAACTTGAACAGGATTCACTGCTCAGAAACACAGAGGCAGAGGGATGGAGTAATGCAGAGCCTATCGAGGGAACTGAGCCCAGTTGCTGGAAAACAAAAAAGAAGACATTTAAAGTTGTCATTACTTGGGTCAGTGGTCAATATCAAGAACACTCAGCCAAAAGGTTAGGAAGAAATTACAGCTAAAGTAAGTCAGGGCCATAAGAAGTAGTAAGACATATACACACTACCAAATATAAAATAGATATCCAACAAGGACCTACTGTATATCACAGAGAACTCTATTCAACATTCTGTAATAACCTTACTGGGAAAGAATTTGAAAAAGAATGGATACACGTATATGTATGTCTGAATCACTTTGACATACATCTGAAACTAATACAACATTGTAAATCAACTGTTCAGTTCAGTTCAGTTCAGTCGTGTCCATCTCTTTGTGACCCCATGAACCACAGTATGCCAGGCCTCCCTGTCCATCACCAAATTCCGGAGCTTACTCAAACTCATGTCCATTGAGTCTGTGATGCCATCCAACCATCTCATCCTCTGTCGCCCCCTTCTCCTCCTGCCTTAATTTTAGTTGCCACTTTGGTTGGGTGGAAGGAGTTTGTTGCTGTTTAGGATGAAATCTACTTTCCTTTAGGTCAGAATTCTTGCCTGGGAGCTTCTGTCATAGCTGGAAGTAGCTTTGTGGGTTTTCAGAACTTGAACAGGATTCACTGCTCAGAAACACAGAGGCAGAGGGATGGAGTAATACAGAGCCTATCGAGGGAACTGAGCCCAGTTGCTGGAAAACAAAAAAGAAGACATTTAAAGTTGTCATTACTTGGGTCAGTGGTCAATATCAAGAACACTCAGCCAAAAGGTTAGGAAGAAATTACAGCTAAAGTAAGTCAGGGCCATAAGAAGTAGTAAGACATATACACACTACCAAATATAAAATAGATATCCAACAAGGACCTACTGTATATCACAGAGAACTCTATTCAACATTCTGTAATAACCTTACTGGGAAAGAATTTGAAAAAGAATGGATACACGTATATGTATGTCTGAATCACTTTGACATATATCTGAAACTAATACAACATTGTAAATCAACTGTTCAGTTCAGTTCAGTTCAGTCGTGTCCATCTCTTTGTGACCCCATGAACCACAGTATGCCAGGCCTCCCTGTCCATCACCAAATTCCGGAGCTTACTCAAACTCATGTCCATTGAGTCTGTGATGCCATCCAACCATCTCATCCTCTGTCGCCCCCTTCTCCTCCTGCCTTCAATCTTTCCCAGCCCAGAGTCTTTTCCAATGAGTCAGTTCTTCTCATCAGGTGGCCAAAAGAAAGAATGGATACATGTATATGTGTAACCGAATCACTTTGACATGCATCTGACACTCATACAGCATTGTAACTCAACTGTAGTTCAATATAAAATTAAAATTCACAATGAATAAAATGATGAAAAAATTCCTTGAGCTGTTCACTAAAGAGGTGGGCACTTTATGTAAGCGGTAACTCTATAATAACTGAATCCGGTAAAAAAAAAAAAAATAAAAGAAGCAGCAGTAGGAAAGAGGATATCCAGAAAGCCGCCACCTTGAGGTCTACTTCAGTTTGGATTCCTTTGAAAGTAGAGGCAAAACCAAAAGCCAGAGGTAAGCCATTTATTTTGAAAGTGGTCCTGGGACGTGGAGACGGGGGGCCGGGGAGAGCAGGATGGGAACTAGCTTCTTGCTAAGGCAAAAAGACCTCAAATTACGGAGCAGTTGGGACTCAAAGTGAAGTCGCTCAGTCGTGTCCGACTCTTTGCGACCCCATGGACTGTAGCTCACCTGGCTCCTCCATCTGTGGAATTTTCTAGGCAAGAGTGCTGGAGTGGGGTGCCATTTCCTTCTCCAGGGGATCTTCCCCATCCGGGCATCGAACCTGGGTCTCCCGCATTGCAAGCAGACGCTTTATCAATCTGAGCCACCAGGGCATCCCAGCGGGGACTCAGGAATGGGAAATCTGGGAAACTGTGAGCAACCAAGTAAAAAGCTCCTCGGAGTTGCCCTGCTAAGGGCCCAAAGGCAAACATCCAGCCCGCCTGGTTGAGAGACGGTCCTAGGTATCACCAGCCCCCACCTGCAGGGAGCGTCTGCAGGCCCTGAGCACGCTTCCCTGGCTTCGGGTGCAGCCGCAGGACAGGCAGAGCGAGAGGCGCTGAGCCGGAGGGCTGGGATGGGCTGCCGTCCACAGGCTCAGGACGGCTCGCTGTGGCCGCGCGGGGTAAGGGTGCTGCCGGGCTGTGACGCGGGACACAGAAAACATCTGAGGCCGGCGCCGCGTCGCTCTTGCCCTTGGAGAAGGGCAGGCTGGGGCGTGCGGCTAGAAAACGAAGCAAGGGGCGTGAGGAGAGCCTCCCACCCCAGCGCACCCTTGGCCGGAACCATTTCCAGCCTTCTGCTCTCGAGCGACCGCACGTTCGGATGACGTAACGGGCCTCCCTCCAGCATGGCGTCTTCCGTTACTGCGTCACATCCGGTGATGGAAACCGTGGATGATCCCCAACCCCAACAAGAAAGTCAGAGTAACTGCCCAGAATCTGGGCACTTTCTGAATCTTGGACCAGTAGTTTGCCTGTCTCAAAGATCCTTCTCTGTTTTCCCCTGTAAATAACTAGATACGTGTCAGAGTTGTTTACCTCTGACTTTTGTGTTACCTTCTGGACCTTTCTTAGGACAGATCACATCGCTTTCCAAGTCTCATCTCTCTAGAATTTTCCAGCTCTGTCATTTCCTCCCAACCTATCTTGAGAAGGCTCCTGTAGCCCCTCTCTGACTAATGTCCTCATTACTACATCTCTGTTATTCTAGCATTTCTGCCTTAAACTTCCCCCAGAACCTGGCTTTTGACTTTAACCCGTGACTAGGCCATCTCTGGTCATCATTTCTATAGGTATTGAATTTCAAAACTGTAATTGAGTCTCTCAACCATCCAACTAAACCAGTTGATTGCAATTCAAACAAACATAGAGCTTCAATGATTTTGCACTAGTTATCCAATCAACTTTGTCATAGTTGGACATATTCCCCCAATTATTTGTATTTTCTAGTGCTCATATCCAAACAGTAAGAGACTATGTTTTTTGTTTACTATTTTTTTCTATAAATAATACTTAAACTGGAAGTCTTTTTTTCTCTTTAAATAATTTCACTGTCCCACCTTCTAAATGCATAACTAACTTTTAAACTTGACTAATTTAAACTTTACCTAATTCAGTGCTTTTTTCAAACTTGATTCGAAGAGACTTAAACGTATATCTATACCCTGTAGGGCTTCCCAGGTGGCGCTAGTGGTAAAGAACCCACTTACCAATGCAGGAGAAACAAGAGACGTGGGTTCAATCCCTGGGTGGGGAAGATCCCCTGAAGGCGGACATGGCAACCCACTCCAGTGTTCTTGCCTGGAGAATCCCAGGAGAATGGACAGAAGAGCCTGGTGGGCTACTTACAGACAATGGGCTTGCAAAGAGTTGGACACAACTGAGTGACTAACACTTTCAACTTTCATGATGAACTCCAAGTGAAGATCTAGTAGCAAATCAAGTCCTAAGATATGCATTTGTCAGTCTGAAACCTTTTGATGATTCACATTTTCACACATGAATTTAGCCTATCTTTGGACTCCGAGGACACAGAGCTCAGTAAAATACTCAGTGGTTTGCCCAGACTGTCCGTTCACTGAATTCCGAGCTCCTGCTCTGGGAAGTACATGTTGGTATGGCAGGCAACTGTCTCCAAAGTGGTCCCAGTGAGACTGTGTCCTTGCTGACTTGTCTGTAAGTGAAACCCCAGGTGCTGAGTTTTCATCTAGGTTTTCCTCGCTAGTTTGCTGTTGTGTTGCCTACAAAGGGTTTCCCTCCATGTTGTTCATGGAAGACAAGGTCAGGAGGCAGTTAGACATTTTCCTAGATAGCATTACTCTTGGAATTTCCTTCTCCAAGAGCTTCCTTTGGCTCAACTCACTGCAAAATATACCTCAGGCTGATGAACTGGAGAGTGCAGAGATCTGGAGTAGAAAGTGCCTCTGGAAATGTCTTCCTCCTCCCTCCTTCCTTCTCTCTCTTCTTTTCTCCCCCGTTATTCCATTGCAGCCCAGCTAACTACAGCTTTCTTTGCTCTCTGCCTCCCTCTCTCCTTCCCTCTCTCCTTCCCTCTCCTCCCTCCCCACTCTTCGAATCTACCAACTCCTGCTTCTCTTCTTCTTCCAGGAACACACACACCCTTAACTTTTCCTTAGACATCAGAGCAAACTTGCTGGAAGTGCTTAGGGCTAAACCAAAAGTGGATAAACGTTTCCTTTCCTGGGAACTTTAACTTTTTCTTTGCAGTTTAATTTAGTTCCTGAATGTTAAAGACGACATATTTGATATCTGTAAATCTGTCTGTACACGTCTGTGCATGTGAATATATATACATGAGCAAACTGGAAAAAAAAAAAAGAGAGAGAGAGAAAAATCCCTCAAACTTCTGCTTTGACTGCAAGATTAGAGGTTCTAACTTCTTGATTATTCCTTAACAAGAACATTTTAGAGAAATCAGTATCTTTTGTCCTCATTCCATATAGATTACTGCAGTTTGCAGACAGCGCTTTTTGCATATTATGTAAATAGAAAGTTACATTAACAACACTGTAGGTAATGTAGGAACATTTTTTTTTTTTAATTTCTCTTTTTTTCTTGCAGAAAGAGCTTCTGATTAAGAGCTGGGAGTGCTGTTCATCTTTGATTCCTTGCTGACTCCCGAAGAGCTGTCTTGGATGTCTCAACGACTTTCTGGAAAACCATCAGTGTGCCCATTTGCATCCAGCACCCCTAATCCTGGAAAGACCACAACTTGACACAGTGGAAGGCATAGACTTTGGAATATATCTTGCTTCTAGTTGCTTAGGTGAGGGTTAAAGTGGGAACTCTGGGGGGCAGGTTGTCAAAAGAATCCAGTATCCAAAGGTAGCCTTTTTGTAAGTATTGGGAATCTGAGAGGTGGTGGGTGGAACAGACAGCGCACTTCAGAGCTGGAGAAATAAGCTCTAACTCAACAGAGAACAGGTGGGAGCAGGAGAGGGAGAGTGCCTTGATGCTCGTTACCAGGTGTCAAGTTATGTATACACAAATAGAGGCAGCGTGTTGGTCCACGCAGGCTGTGAATTTCGCAAACTATTGAAATAATGCAGTGCTACTTGATAGCTTGATGGCTGATGAATGCCTTTAGTAGGTGCACAGAGAGACAGCTCAAGGTGTTACAAAATTCACCCCCAAGAATAGCAAGAGGTACAAAAAGCTTCCTATTAGTGAGTGACCTTAATTGCTCATGGAAACAAAACTTTCAGCGTGCAAACTCAGTTGGGGGCCCTGGCTCCTGACCACCAGAAACTGGAGAGATGTGGTCAGTACTGGCTTCCTCAAGGTCCTTAAAAATTTTTGCACATGAATGCTCCACCAGCTTTTCTAAGGATGTGACTTCCACTTTAATGTAGAGAAGAAAGTTGCTCTATAGAGCCCAGGAGGAGAAGCGATTATAATGCACATCGCTACCAAACACATTATACAGCCCTATCCGTTTATGAGACTGTCTCACCTTAAGAAGTCATAAAATTTCTCTCCTTGAGCAAATAAAGAGTTTATAATGTTTCTAAACTATCGATGTGGAATGGATTCTTCCATGCTCTTTTTGGAAATGTTTGTTGTGATGGCAAGTGACACAATTTACTTATTATTGTGGCAGAAGTTTAGCGTGATTGAAAGCCATCAACAGGCATAGCATCTGAATGTCAAACATGACTTGTATCTATAATTCCAGACAATGATTTGGATGCCTATTGACTTTCTTTCTCACCCACAATTTTTTCCCCTTTCCACTAAGTGGCACTGTGTTATTTGCATTTTTTTCTGCTCAGGTCAAAATATCAGAAATTTGGAATACTGGTCTGAAAACCAGTTTAAAGCTTTGTGTAAATTTCTGCTAAAAAGGCTGGATGAGAAAAAAATAAGCAGCAATTAAATTTTTATAAGAAAAAACTTCCACGAAGCTTACTCTTTTCTGTATTTAACTATTTCGCACTTTTTCTTTCCAACTCCATTAGCCTCCAAATAAGCACACCATATTATATATGTCAAAGGAAGTTTTATTTAGACTTATAAGGGCTGATCTATTCCCATACTGTTTAAATTAATGTTCAAAAAAGAATTCAAACTACATTCTAACATTTGGACTATGTAAGAAGGAAACAGATTTTCGGGGGAAAAAAAAAAAGATGTTGTTTTAGCTAGGCAGAATGGGCTGTAGGAATGGAGACACGTGCAGACGGGATTTCTAAATGTGTGTATTATCTGATCAGATCTGGGCTGCTCGCATGTCAACTCAGAGAGTAAACGGGTGTAGAATCTGCAGAATTTGCTTCTCCCCTTCCTTCCTTCCTCCTTCCCTCCCTCCCCCTTCCTTCCTCCTTCCTTCCACTTCATTTTTTCTTCCTTTTACTTTTTTCCCTCCTCCTCTGCCTCCCTTTCTTTTTTTTTAACAGCTTGGGATTGACTTTTATCTCAGCCACCTGCAGCCTAAGGCTTGGAAACACTCCGATTCTTCACCTAAGTGGTTACTTTTCAGACCAAATTAGCTCCAGCAATGCAAGTTGACTTTGAAAAAAAAAAAGAAACTAGAGTCTCTGGAAAAAGAATATCTTCCATTTGCATCAAGTCAAGGTGAACATTTTGAGAATGAAGTTCTGATTACCTTCTCCAAATGCAGCACACCAGTGAGGGACAGGATGTTTTGTTATGTTGGCATTTAGAAACCATCCTACATCAAGAAAGAGTCATGGAAAAAACATAGTTACTGATTCTGAGTGTGAGGGATCCCTTTAGCTTTCAATACAATAGAGTTTTCCAGTTTCTCAAGTGCAGCGAAAACGCTGCCAGATAAAGAAACATAAAAGCACCCATGGAAAGGGTTATGAGACCAAAATTTTCTCTGCATGTGTGATTTTATGTTTTGTGTGTGTGCATGCACATAAAGTGAGTTCTGTTTGAAATTAATGAATTATATTTCAATTACCCAACGTCTAGCAGCAGTTACTTTCTTTGGTGTGTTGGCTTCTCTTTGTAACATGTATGGTAGTATTTTTCTCACAAACGAAGTATGTTTTCTTGATCAGACAGAACAGAAATTAGTGAGCCAGGAAAATGTCAAAATCTACCTTTTTAAAAAATATATCATCTCCTAGAGAATAACACCCCGCTCTCTTTCACGTGCAAAATATCACACACTTGCCTTTGAGACTCAAGAGGAAAAGGAATTCATTGACTTCCTCAGAGAAACTGGTTTACAGGGACCCCTCAGATGAGGACGAAGCCTGCTGGGGTGGTGGAGAGCTGACATGCATTTCTTGGAAGGTAAGACCTTTGGGATGATTTTCAAATATAGAATACTCTATTGAGGATGTTTTCATTTCTTTACAACAGACTTGTGAAGATTCACAAGCCATTAGTGAATCTGAAACAGCCTAGGTAGATTATTAATTTTGTTTGAACTAACTTTTCCCAAAGTTGTTTGGTCTTGCGTCCCTTTTTGCACACCCCAGGCACTGCAGCCCCTGTGAACTAGTTTAGCAGTCAGGATAGGCGAGGTTATCATGAGGTAACAAAGACAGCCCCCAACTCTCAGTGGTCTATTTCAGTAAAGGTTCATTTCCAGCTCATGCGCCCTGCCCAGCAGGTCCTCAAGGATAAGTGGGCGTGTTGAGTTCCTTGCAGTCACTCATGGAATTATCATGAGGTAACAAAGACAGCCCCCAACTCTCAGTGGTTTATTTCAGTAAAGGTTCATTTCCAGCTCATGCGCCCTGCCCAGCAGGTCCTCAAGGATAAGTGGGCGTGTTGAGTTCCTTGCAGTCACTCATGGACCAAACCCGGAAAAAGAGCAGGCATATAAAGTGGGCCAGTTCAGAGAAGGCTCTGAAAAGTCTGACACATATTGACCCGCGAATGCCCTCAGCCAGAGGTGACGCAGAGCACTTCTGATCACAAGTAATCACGGAGAACTAGGCTGATGGTCCCATTCAAACACAAGAGGGTGGGAAATGTAATCCCAACGTGGACCCCGAAGGCAGAGATTCTAAAATAATTAGGAAGAGCACTGATGACTGCCACGCCTAGTATTTTTCAGAATACATTTTAAGACTCTCTGGATAATTTACATCATTTAGATGATCCAAATCCCACCATTGTACATTTCTCCAAGGTCAAGAAGTGTTATACCTGGGAGAACTGGAGGAGAGATTACAATAATACCCTGAAAATAATTCAATTACATGGGAAACACCTTTTTGCCTTTGAACTTCATAACTACCCAGTTATATGAGTAGGGCATAGATTTTCTTATAGGAAAGTGAGACATGTAGAATGAACTCTGTGAGCTGATCTACTATTCGAACAGTCTTTGAAAGTCAGGAAGAAATGTTGAGGTATGGGAATTGTGAGCAGGATCAAAATCTGGGGCAGCTGGACCAGCAAGAATCATCGCCACAGCCCAGTTCTACCATGGATTCTACCAGATTTGTCCAGGACTTTGTCCAAGCATTGGGGAGATTATTCAACAGAAATGCAATGAGAAATGCAAAGCTCACTAACAAAAATGTGAAGAAACGCAGTTCTGGAGGGATGCCAAGAGGCGATGACTTATTTCATAAATATCTTGAGAGCTTCTGGCCACTAGAATCAATGAGCTCTGAATCACTAAAGAAAACATTCAGATGGTGCCCTTGGAGAGAAATTTTTAACCTATCATTTCAGCCTCTAAAAGGACAGTTAAAAGTAAGAGGGGAAAAAAATAAAAATAAATTCTGCCCTTTTTATGGGCTGTAGGACTCCTGTGGAGGAAAATAAATTCTGATTTATTGCTGTCTGCCTCGGAAAAGTTGGAGGCACAGAATGACATTTTACAGCCTTGCTTGGGTTTGTCGGTGTAGGTGGGGGGCCAATCTGGGGGAGCCGGTGTGCCGTGACAGCCACCAGCAAGCCACAAGCCACCTCGCAGTACCCACTCCGCGTCCTGCCTCACCTCCATCGCCCCTAACCCCCAAATCTGCCGTAATTAGTCTTGCAAGGCTTACGTTGCCACAGCCGCACGCCTGAGGCATTATCTCCTATCTGTGGTATTCGGTGCTGTAATCCCACAGCTAAATGTGGTAACCCAAATTTCACAGAGGCTCTGTAGCCGGCGTGCTGAGATAACCCATCTCGGCGCGCGGAGTGCCAGGTCGCAGGGAGCCTGTAGGCTTGGAGCGCTATGGATGTTGTGTAGCTTCATCCTACGCACCCTATAGCTTACCCATCCTTCCAGAGATCACAGGAACCCTAAATAGCAAAGATGGCATCCTAACTAGAACACCACCTGTTTTGCACAAGCGTGCATGGGCTTCTGCCACCCCGCTGCCTCTCGCTAGCTCGCTCGCTTTCTCTCTCTTGGTGGAGAAGAGACAGGCTTTCAAGTCCTTCTCTGCGGTCTGGCTGACCAAGTCGAGGCGAAACTGGGAGACGGAGGCTCCTTGCCTGCACCCAGGCCAACGGTCCCTACGCCACCGACGTGACAACAGTGACCTACATACGTCTCTCACACACAACGCTCTCGAACAGGCTTGCAGGTGCTGGAATCCTAGGCAGTAAAGATCGTTGCCTGTCAAGCCTCTTTGTTCTACATTTCAAACATTTCTGTGGCTGTTTGTTGTCAAAAGACATGTATGTTTCCTCTCTCTCTCTTTCTCTCTGCCTTCCCCTTCTTCCTCCAGTGTGGGATTGCTCAGAAATATGCCAGTTCTGACATATGCTTTTACCTGAAAATGTATCCACTCCTGCTGCTTTATTGGACCCCTTAATTACTTGTAAAAAAATAATAATAAATTGGGCAGGTGTTTGCTCTTCCAGTTGATTAATTGACAATGATTTCAGTACAATTGATGGCACAAAGCTAGGAAGCTGCCGGTTGGAGCTCAATAAGGAATACACATTTTTCTACTCAGCCATGTGAATCAGCTCGAGAGGAGAATTTACAGGAGGCTCAGATTGCCAGCAAACTATGTTTTTCATTCCAGGCTGGGAGGTCTCTGAGTCCCAGTGTTGAGCTCTGTCACATATATAATTCTCTATTATATACATGTGAAACTCTGGTACTGATAAAATGAGTTGAAAAATGTTTCTCCCCCTAAGTGAAAAAGATCAGCCACTACTGTGTGTAGAACGCCGCGCATTATAGCAGAACAATGAATCTGATGTAAAGTTGATCAGGCTTTTTCGCTGTGTCGGTGATGTTTCAGTTTTCCACTTACCAGCATCAGAAGCAGCAGCAGCAGCCCACGATGGTCCCTAAGGACTGTATCTCCCAGATTATTAGCATAGCAAATTTGGGGCCATTCTGCACTAATTTTTTTTTTTTTATGACTTCAAAGACAGCCACACAAGGTTTTCAGACCAGTGACTGAACAAAAATAAAGAGAGCTAAATGTTTAGATGTAGAGAAACAAAGCTAGACACTTTTCTTCCTTTTTGATTGGTACAAAAACTTTCCACATTTTACAGGGAACCTAGTGATCTAGAGAAGACATAAAACATGATAGACTTTATCATTTTAATTAAGAAGAGTCCTGAGTATAAAGTTTATTTTCAGATGGTCAGGTTTTCAGAAAAGAAGTTGCTTGGCTACTAAAATGTTATATGAAATAAGAAAGTGGTGAACTACATAGAGGAAGTTAGATTCAAGGTTTGGCTGGAGTTCAGGCCGCATTTTTATGTTGATCTTTAGAACTCCTTCATTCACTCTATTTTTATTTTACAGCTGGGCTTGTAAGCATGAATAATGTAGATACACAAATAGCATAGCCAGGAGGTAGCAAGAGAGAGAAAGAAGAGTCCATATTTCCTGAAAACAACTCCAAATAGGAAAGACATTTTCATGCTTTTTTAAAGACAATAACAGAGAAGTCTTACTGGCAATGCATATCAACTCAAAGTAAGCCTTGAAACAGTTTTTTTTTTTTTTCTAAACATAAATGTTAGGAGACTATCTTACAGGAATTTACCATGGGCATTTTATGGGTTTTTTTTTCACCGATCAAATTTATAAGAGGAAATTAATGACATTCCAGACTCATATCAATGAAATCACGAAATAATGACCTCCTGTCACCTTTCAGAAACTCTTCAACATCTGATTGAGATTCAAAATATTTTAAAGGAACATTTCAACAAAATTATCAGGTGGTTTCAGAAAGAAAGAGTATATGAATTCACTCTTAAATGTTTGCGGAAAGGAATTATATTCCCTTTGATGAAAGCGATAAGGTGTAGAGACTTTTAAATACTGTGCATTTTTCAGCAGAAGGCTCTGAGTCACGTCTTCCTTCACTGAGACTCTGTTCTTTGGCTATAAAACTCACTCTGGTTACTTCAATAGTCTGATTTGCCAAGAAGATAAAGGGTTCAAATTTTCTAACTTGTCCTTTCACGAGAAAGAACTTGAAAAACTCAGAAACATTAGATTGCAAGTTGTTTTGGGGAGAGTATGCATTTCCTGCCCTTGCTCCAAGAGAAAAAATCCCTCCTCCACATGCAGCTTACTGAAGAATTCGCATGGTCAGTTTCCTTTCAAACTCTTCAAACTTTCAAGCTCTCAAAATTCGGATCTGATGTGCGTTTCTCTGAAGATTTTACAAGCCAGCCTCTTTGCCACAGTAACCCTGGGAAGTAAAGCAGACATTGCGGTAAGCTTCAGTGATCCTGAGGCACTAGGCTTCTGCACCCGACTCCAGGGATGTGTTCTTAGCATTAAAACTTCCCTAAGAAAGTGGCAGAAACGTCCAAACT